ACTAGGACATAGGAAGTGATAGTCATGGTATTACAGATAGAAACAGGAAAGACCCGGTGGAGACTAAAGCTATTTGGCTAACAATAGACGTGTTTGATCTCAAATGTGATCCTTGAATCACGACTATTGTTAGCCAACCATCTTTAGCTTCCACTGTTTTTATCCTTTTCTATCTATAATACCAAGCCTATTACTTCCTATGACCTAGCCTCTTATGTGCTAACCCACAGACGTTTTTGATTCAGCATTAAACCTAACCAAAGCAAGCAGTACCACAACATGTGTGGGTCGGCACACAAGAGACTAGGGCATAGCAAGTCATATATACGAAGAGTTATTGGGTGGTGCTAAGAATGGCGATACTCACTGACGATGCTGGCGAAACGTTTGGGAATGTACCACGTCCACGGTTCAACTTTATAAATAATCATGCAGACAATCGACTCCTGACTAGGTGCGTTCCTCTAAGTATTTCTACCAATATGACCATTTTGCGAAAACAAGGTCAAACAACCTTTATACAACGAAAGGAGACAACGACCATACAAAAGGCCCCACCATCTTGGTCTTCATACATCAGCTTACCAATGCCTGGTCGCAGTATTTTACGTCCTTTAAAAGCATACCTATTAACATTATTTATGTCAGTGCTTTGGAGAAAATAAAAGAATTCGCATTTTTGTCTATTAAAGGCACCACTAACAAACTCGATACCTTCATCCGATGAAATCGGCCCAATACATTATTTGCAATAAGGGATTCTTTTAAAATCTCTGCTGTGGCCAATCTGGCAAAGGTCTACTATAAAAATAGACAATCCCAAACTTAACTTTATTCGAAGACAACTTAAAAATATTGCCAGATCATTTCTGAAATTGATGGCGATGAGGGTTCGCCATAATCATTAAGAAGGGTAATGAGTAACAATAAAAACATATAGATACGAAGAGAAATTGGGTTTCGATGAATCTCCTGAGATAACATTGTTAGGGGGACCTTCATTTTGTATGAAAGTGCATGAAGAAGAGATTCGTTGGTCGATCTCACTAGATGAGGACGGATGAAACTCGTTGTACTGCAGCCGGTTGGATTTTATATGATATTCATGTTCAATGTTAAACCACAACGTTTGTAGGTTGGCAA